AATTGATTAAGGGTGGGATATGGTGCATTACTTTAACCTCTAGCAACATGAATTGCTTTTGTTGCTTGAATATATGCTTTAAAAAAAAGATATCCACATCTCCTTGGCAGTTGAGCAACCCACAATTAGGTCCATGCTTTCTTCGGTCAAGGTGCTTGAGATCCAACTATTTAGAAATGCATATTTCTCCTTTCAATCATAAATGGTGCCACTATCTTTTGCATCCTTCTAAGCCGCTACAATATTCCCAGTGGTATAACTACTTTTACTTGGTTTATTATCTGAGATATAAACCAATTTGGATATGTGTGTAATTTTTATGAGGTAGTTTGCTGACTTAAATTTAATGGAGTAAGCGACTATGAGTTGATGAAGTAAGGAAGTCGAGACATTTTTGGTAGAAGTTGTCATTGCAACGTGTAGTTTTTTTTTTAATCAATACTCAGGTGCAGAAAAGTTTTAAGATCTGATACCATGTAGACTTAGATTCCTACTACAATACCTATTACATCTATAATAATAACAATGCAATTATATAATCTAAATCCTAATTATACTATAATTCTAATAGTAATCTAATCCTAGTCCTAATATAATTCTAATCATAATATAATTCTAGTCGAAATGTAATCCTAATTAACATAGGTAGTCTAATCCTAATGCCACTCTAATTCTATAACAGTGATGTAAACTCATCAGTTAGCTTCGTTGGACCTGTTTCTTTGACATGTTCCAATGTCAGCTTCCTTCCTCATCAACACTTGCTGCAGATAGGTCAGTCAATTGTGTTGGACCTGTTCCTTTGACATTTTCCAATCGTCTTCTTTAATAGATTATTCTATAAAAGAAAATTAAAAAATACAGAAGAAAGAAATATGAAAACATTCTCTCTCATATCTTTTATCTATATATATTGTTTTATATTATTCCATATTGCTAATTGTGGGGGTAATATACCACAAATAATAAAATATTACAGTTGAAAACAAAATGACAAAAATGAATAATAGTTTGAGGCGTGGATATCTCACTCATTTTAATGAGATTCAATCTCATTAATTGCGGCATAATTTACACCGATTCAGTCGTATCACTCTTGGCTTGTTTCCTCCAGGATACAACAGCCCAACAACATGTACAACTCAAACAACTTCGTATTAGTTGAAAAGTCCAAAGATGACCTTCTTCAACATATAATTACTCTGTTTTATATAGTGAATATAGTTAAAGACTTGAAAAATTATTCCTTATCTCAACTCTCTCTTTAACTACACTAACTCGTTATATACAAAATACAACACTTCTCATATTTGACTAAAACTCTATCTCATCTTCCAACAAAGTAACCACACTATTTATAAATAAGAAATGTGTCCTTGTATGAATGGAAAAACAATGGATGGTAAATTGAGCAAACGAATTGCCCAAAAGTTACATAACTTACAACCATAATAAGATAGAATAATAGGTGAATAATGAGTTAGAGGTTACAAGATTTGGGGAATATTATAGCCACATTCTACCATGTTAACTAATGTGAGTAATCCTTCACCCTCATTGTCCCTTGCGCTGGATGCATTTGGAGAATTTTTGAAGCAATCTATATCTATTTTATTCTTTTCAAAATGCGTGGAATATGTAAATACAATTTAATTCTTAACCCTATATATGTGTAAAAATCAAATTGACCCAAAATTATTGGGTGCTCAAAATTTAAATTGTTGCACCGCATTTCCATAACTTTGGGACTCCACATGAGATGTCCTTTAGTAACTATGGATCAGATCGTTACCATTATCTATTGTTCTCTTTTGTATTATCTTATCGCGTAAATTATTTTGCCCTGAAAAGTGTTTATGCATGGAAGTTGTGAATAATACTCCATAACCATGCTTCAATCATCCATAGATGCATTTGGAGAGAAATTAGAGAAGATAGAAATTTGGGAAAAAAGAATGAATGATTCTATTATGAATATAACACTTATTTATACAATGTGGAAACGTTCAAAAATATCTAATGGCTGTGTAACTTTTAAAAATAAAAGAATTGAAAAATGACTAACTAACTGTTGTTGTTCTAACTAATTAATTGATTATACTGCAGTAACTATTCTAACTAATTAAATAATTGTACTAACTATAATTATCAATACCCCCCTCAAGTTGGAGGTGTGGAGAACACAAATAAGTTGCTTAATGCTGTAGAATGTTTGATTGTTGTCAATATCTTAGTCAATATGTCTGCTAATTGATCATCAGAACTTATGTGATGTAGCGAGATGAGACCTGTCTGAAGTAAGTTCCTCACAAAGTGGCAGTCAACTTCAATGTGCTTGGTGCGTTCATGAAACACTGGGTTTCAAGCTATATGTAGAGCACACTGACTATCACAATACACTTCAATAGGTGCAGGCAATGTCAATGTTAGTTCTCCTAATAGTCTGTTCAGCCATACCAGTTCTCCTGCAACTTTCCTTAGAGCCCTATACTCTGCTTCTGCTAAAGATAGAGATATAGTCTCTTGCTTCTTGGATTTCCAGCTGAGTGGGTTGTTCCCTAGCAACACAATATAACCACTTACTGATTTCCTAGAGTCAGGGCATGCAGCCCAGTCAGAGTCATAATAAACTTTGACATTGTATTATTGTTCTTTGGACATGAAAATCCGTAGAGTAGGGTTTGTCTTAAGGTACTTTAGTATATGAAAAACTTCTTGTAAATGTGGCTCCTTAGGATCTTGCATAAACTGACTGAGATGTTGCACACTGTATGATATATCCATCCTAGTATTAGTTAAGAAATTTAGCTTCCCAATAAGTTGTCTATAAAAGAGTGGTTCTGTCAAATGTGTTCCTTCTTTGGCATGGAGTTTTACTGCAACATCAAGTGGAGAGGTGCAACTGCTCATGCTTGCAACCTTATAAATTTTAACATATCAAGAACAAACTTTCTTTGAGATATAATCAGTCCATCATCTTTGTAGAGAACTTCCATTCCTAGGAAATAATGTAACTTTCCCAAATCTTTGATCTTGAACTGGTCATGTAGAAATGTTATAAGTTCTTCAATTTCAGAAACATTTGTGCCTTTTAGAATCACATCATCTACATATACAAAAACAAATATGCTAGAGGTTTCAGACTTTTTATGAAAAAGAGAATAGTCATTCAATGAGTGAGTGTACCCTTTTGAATATAAGGCTTAAGCTAACTTGGCATACCATTGCCTGCTGGACTGTTTCAGACCATATAAAGAATTGTTCAGTCAATATACCAGCCCTGGTTTGTGTATTACTAAACTTGGGGGAGCTTTCATATAAACCTCTTCATGTAAGTCTCCATGGAGAAATGCATTATTAACATCAAGTTGAGATATATTCCAACCCTTTTTGACAGTTGTGTCTAATAAAACTCTCACTGTTGTCATTTTAATCACTGGTGGAAAGGTTTCTGCATAATCAACTTCAGCCTCTTGTGTAACCTTTCACTACAAGTCTTGTTTTGAATCTTTCAATAGTTCCATCAGCCCTATGTTTCACCTTATAAACCCATCTACATCCTATGGCCTTCTTGCCACTAGGCAGAGGAACAAGATCTCAAGCATGATTTGTGTGCAAAGCTTCAAACTCCTGTGTCATTGCTTGTTGCCATGCAGGGTTCATAGAGCCTCCCTATATGAAGAAGGCTCTTCATCATTACTGATATTTCTCACAAGAATTTGACTCTCAAGTATCAAGACCTAAGGTGGTACATGTTGGTGTTTGGAAAAAGCTGTATTTAGGGAAATATTTGAGTTCTGTAAATGTTTAGTCAAATTCTTGGGTAGAATACAATCATGCAGGTGTGTTGGTAACTTATGTTGTCTAGATGGTCTGTTGAGAACTTTGGGTACAGGTGCAGGTGTAGTTGCATGATTGGAAGATTGATTGTGCTGAATGGTGGGTATTTCAGTTACATGATTAGGTGAAATGTGAGGTAAAGTGTCATTTGCATCAATTACATTATTGTCAACTTGTTGTCCAGTTTGTGATTAAACATTAGTAGAACAGATCAATGAAGAGAACAGAATTCAAGACAGAAGGAAAAGAAGAAACATCAGAAAGAATAGTAAAAGGAAAAATATTTTCCTTAAAAACTATATCCTTGGAGATGTGTATATTTTTTGTGGCTAGACTAAGAACTTTGTAGCCTTTTGATCCAAAAGGGTAACCTATGAAAATATGGGGTGTTAAACTGGCTTTGAATTTATCCTTATGAGGTTTTGGGACAGTAGGATAACATAGGCAACCAAAAGTTTTCATATGAGAATAGATTGGTTTGGTTTTGTATAGCAACTCATAAGGATATTTTACTTTCACATGAGAATTAGGAAGTCTATTAATGATATATGTGACACATAACACACTAACCCAAGTATTTAAGAGGTAATTTTGATTGAAAAAGAAGAGCTCTAGCAGTTTCTAACAAGTATTTGTGTTTCCTTTTCACCACCCCATTCTGTTGTGGTGTATAAGGACATGTCTTTTCATGAATAATTCCCTTTGTTTTGAAGAAGATTGAAGTTTCTACATTGACAAATTCAAGTCCATTATCAGTTCTTATGGTCTGAACACATGTGTTGAATTGAGTTTCAATCATGGATAAAAAAGTTTTTATAACTCATAAGGTGTTACTTTTACATGTTAACAATTGAGTTCATGTACACCTACTATAATCATCAACAAAAGTGATAGAGTACCTACAATTATCATGAGTCACATTATGGTATGGACACCATAGGTCTATGTGCACAAGTTGGAATATTTTGGTAGAAGTATGGGTGCTGTGAGGAAAGGGCATTCTTTCTATCCTTGCCATGTGACAAATATTACAAAGGAAAGGTTGTTTGGTAGAAAAATTCTCAGGTATGGACTTAATTTCCCTCATTTTCACAAAAGGAACATGTCCAAGTCTATTATGCCACAACACATTCACATCATTACTAGTATGAGATTTAAAGGAAGCAGAAATACAAGGGCTTTTATTGAATAGTATACAATGTTGATTACATTTACTATGTGTGCATGAAGAAATAGGACAAGAAACAGATTTGAAATTGTGATTACATGTACTATGTTTGCATGAAGAAATAGGACAAGAAACATAATTGAAATTGGAAGACTTGATATGAAACTAGGAGAAGAGGTTGAAGAGGTACATGCATCACCGGAATGATTGGATTTCATCAAGCATTTAGAACACAAAAAATATAACCCATCTTTTGCCTCACCAATCACTAGAGACCTCTTCATTGAAGGGGCCTGCAAAATACATGAGAATTCAGAAAAATACACAATGCTTTTAGGCATAGATTTTGAGAGACAATTAATGGAAATAAGATTGTATTTAAAGGAAAGCACATACAAGACTTCATGCAGAACAATGTTTGATGCTAGTATCACACTACCTATTTTCACTACTTTCACTTTGTAACCATTTGGTAGGGTAATCAATAAGGGACAAGGAAGGTAAGCAATATTTGTTAAGAGGGTTATGTTAAAAGTCATGTGGTTAGAGGCTCCTGAGTCAAGTATCCAAGAGTCAATTTTATTGTGAGGACATCTGCACGATAATTTGCCAAAATCAATTGAGGAAGTACATGCTATCATACATGCAAAAGCAGAATTCACAGTACCACCCGAAAAATCAATGTGTTGAGTATTGTCTTTCTCAGCTTGAAAGTGTTGTAACATTTCCACAAACTGAATATACTGTTCTTTTGTCAGCTGATGACCTGTTTCATTATGATTTGCCTTGTGCTTTTCTTCTCCTGAACAATTTTCACCCTGAACATCAACCATGAGACCTTTGCCTTTGTTAAACCTAGGAAGATTCTGATTGTTTGTCTGTGGATAACAATGCAACTTATAACATTTATCCCTAGTTTGCCCTGATTTTTTGCAATAATCACATACAAATCGAGACCTGTTACCATTGTAAGAATTGGTCCGGGAGTAATTAGTTCTGAAATTGGGATTATCTGTGGAAGAGTAATTTGATTTCATGGACCTAGAATTACTTGCTCCTGCTAAACCATTCCCATTGAAGTTAACAGATCAAATGATTTTCTTCCCTATACTTCTAGCATATAGAGAAGTAGACTCCATGAACATTTAAGTGTTAGGCTTAATTTCTCTTTGTTTTCTTCCTGTATCAACAAGGAAAACGTTTGTGGTAGAGAAGGTAATGGATTCATCATGAGAATGTTCCCTCGTATTACAGTATAAATTTCATTCAATCCCATAAGAAATTGTATCAATCCTCTATCCTGATTTACCTTGAACATATTATCCTTAGCTCTACAAGTACAATTACAATTACACTGAGTTTTCGCATGCAATGTATTCAATTCTTCCCACAATCTTTTCATCTTGGTGTAGTAAGTAGTGATGTCTAAAGTTCCCTGTGATAACTCGTTAATTTCACATTGAACTACTTTGCACCATTGATTTGGTCATATCGATCCTCTAGTTCTTTCCACAATTCGAATGAATTAGAAACATATTCCACACTTTCTGCAATTTCCTTTGACAGAGAATTGAGAATCCATGAAGTAACCAGTGAAGCACTTGAGTTATCCCAAGGATGCATATACAGAGGAGAACTGAGTTCTTCACTAATAACACCAGTGCTATTTACAGTAGTATCATTTGAAGGCGAACCAGTTTCAATTGTCATAGTAATTCAATTCAAGGATCTAAGTGAAGAAATGCAGCGGAAGAAAAAAAAACAACTCGATCTGAATTCGATCTAGCAATCAATCAGAATCACAACACAAAGAATAGAACAAAGTAATTCAACCTAGCAATCGATCAAAATTATAACAAAAAAAAGAGCAAATTACCTCCTACTCTGATACCATGTGAAGAATACTCCATAACCATGCTTCAATCATCCATAGATGCATTTGAAGAGAAATTAGAGAAGATAGAAATTTGGGGAAAAAGAACGAATGATTCTATTATGAATGTAACACTTATTTATACAGTGTAGAAACATTCAAAAATATCTAATAGCTTTGTAACGGAAAAAATAACAAAATTGAAAAATGACTAACTAACTGTTACTGTTCTAACTAATTAATTGATTACATTGCAGTAACTATTCTAACTACTTAAATGATTGTACTAACTATAATTATCAATAGAAGTTAAACTCGTTAAACAACTAATATTCATCGATGCCCCCATGATGCAATTTTTAATAATAAAAGCTCTATTTTACCTGTTATAATAGATAAATTCTTATTTTTAATACAAATCTCACTTCAATGACATTTTACTCATAAATATATTTCAAATAATTTAATACTTTTTTTTAAAAAATAATAGGATGTATATATAAGTTAAACTCCTTTGCAAAATATGTAGTCTAGCTACTTGTTGATATACGAAATGTGTTATTCCTTTTTCTTTTTTTTTAATTAGAAACAACTAATTAATTTTAAAGTTTTGATTCATTAGTAATAATATTCAACATATCATTTAGTTTATAAACAACTTGGTGATATCAAAACCATATAATGCCACCGAACCTTTTCCCGTAGTCCAATTGCATGATTAAATGAATTTATTTGGTATGTTCATGTCCCTATTGTCATTTAATTTGAAAGTGAGTGACCACCAACCTTGCTATAGACACTAAATATACTCCAATAATTTCTTCTATATAAGGATCTTCGTTTAGCCAAACTATAGTATTTCCACTAAACTTTTTGAGTTTCCAAAGTTTGTGAATACATACATATATATTTTTTCCCTTCCTATTTCCTTATAATAAATGGCTCCTTCCATTTACATAGATTCCAAACCAAATATTAATTTAGAAATAGAAAACAATAATAAGTCCATAGTGAAAACTCTTTACAAGGCATTATCATGTACATGTGGTGACACTAAAAAAGTTACCGGTATTATTGTTGATGACTTAGAATGGTGGTTTCATGGACCACAAAATTGTCACTATATGATGAAATTACTCACTGGAGAAGTATCTAATAATAATAATAATTCATTCAAGTTTGAGCCAAGAAGTGTAGATGCTATCGATGATCATCGTGTTATCGTTGAAGGATGGGAAGGTGCAAAAGCTTATTGGGTACATGTTTGGACATTTAAAGATGGTGTTATTACTCAATTTAGGGAGTATTTCAATACTTGGCTTACTGTGACTGAGTTGAGGCCTATGGGTTGGGTACACTCCACCACATTGTGGCAGAGCCACCCACGAGACCTCGCGAAACGCTCACTTCCCGGCCTTATGCTAGCAATTTGAATGTACTATAGTCCATTATTAGGGAAAACAAAGTAAGGAGTGTTTGCTTTTTTCCTTTACCTAATATGTGAAAATATGTTAATGTAACAAAGTTGTTATGTATCCAAAGACGGACAATTTGATGAAATTTTGTACTTTTGTTTTTGTTTTTACATAACGAATCTGCCGTTACTATTCTTCATTTGCACATTGTTTTAATGCATTATTCCATAAGCCAAACAAATATTGAAGTAGTTTAAAAGCTTTTGTGAATAATTTTCAGTGGATACATTTTTTTGTTATAATTCAAATTCATGAAAATTTTGAAATTTAACTTGGAATTAGATCTCAAAATAACATATTTCTAAAATTCAACACCAAAATGAAAAAGAAAATTTTCATAGTCGAGAGCTTGGAATATTCTCAAATACTCTCTCTCTTTCAAAAGATTGACCTAGTTTCGGAGTTTAAGAAAAAGAAAGAAGACTTTTTAATCACGTGGTTCAAATTTAAAGTTATGTCAAATGTACCAAAATATCCTTTAATCTTGTGGTCTTAAACATGCAACGTGGAAAGTTAAAGTTAAAGTGTTGCCAAAAAAAAGAAAGGAATCATTTTTTTCGAAACAAACTAAAAAGAAAACAGAGTCATTTTTTTTTTGAAATGGAGAGAGTATTTATTTTACTATTTTCTTTTCAAAATTATTACAGCTAACTGAAAGTTAGGTATCCTGAAGTTACAATTATTATTCATAATTCATATTTAAATAGTATAAGAATATTTTTGGCCGGAGTGGTCGTATATATTATATATATATGTAATAGAAGGGGTCCTTATCTAAATAAGGGGTCATTTGCTATTAAGGCAATAGGAAAAGTGCATATTGCAATTCAAAAGGATTATTAATACATGTATATTAATATATATCTTTTGATTATGAGTATGGACCATTAATTGTTTGGTTCAATGAAATTAGGGATTACGTACGAATTAATCATGTTTTTAGTTTAGGACCAGATTAATTAAACTTTCTATATGACTGTGTCAAGTCATAAAATTTCTTCCTATTCTCCCTCATAATACACTCAGATTAAAGAAGCTTAAGATACAGAGTAAATATTCCAAAAAGTTATTTAATTACAAAAATTTTGTAGTAAAATTATTTAATACTGTTTTGTCTTTATAAGATTATTCAACTTAAAATTTTTCTCTTATAAAATCATTCGATTGATTTAATTACAAAAAATACATTTTAACCCTTATAATGTTTTGGATTTGGAAAAGAAAACCTTTTTATATTTTGATGAGACAATAAACCACCTTAATCTTAAATCAATTACAAAAATAAATTAAATTATTTACATTTATTTTTATAATGTAAAAAACAATCCTCGAGTTAATCATTTCCAAGAACAAGATGCAAAGAGATTGGAAGAGGAAACAAAATATGAGAATCGAACGTGGTATCTTTTAGTATCTGGGTAAGCAAAGTAATAATTTATAATTTTAGTAGATTAATTGTAAAGTTCAAATTACCTTCTATTTTTATTTTTTCTATTTACGTAGACACTTAAATTGTATTATAATTAAATTCATATGAAATTTGAATTAAATTATGTGCATTTGGATTAAATGAATAACTTATGTTCATTTTATTGAGTTCCAATTCAAGGTCCATTCTATCTTGAAATTAAAATTCATAACATGTGTCACAGAGACTAGATATTCAAGACAAACAAGGTGATGCCACGCGTCTAACTCAGACAAAAGAGATTGGACCCAAGTTAATTCAGCAGCTGCATTGGCAAGAGTTTTGCATTCAAATTCAGTGGAGGACCTAGAAACAGTGCGTTGTTTCTTCAAGGACCAAGAGACAAGAGCAGCACCTAAATAGATTGCATAACAACCTGTGGATTTGCAATCATCTATGCAGCCTGCCCAATCTGAATCAGTAAGAGCCTGAAGTAGCAAACTAGATGAGCAATGAATGTTAAAACGATGATATTGAGTGTGTTGCAAGTAGCGTAGTATCCGATTAACCGCAACCCAATGATTTCCCATGGGATTGTGAATGAATTGAAATACTTTATTAACCACAAATGCAAGGTTCGGGCGCATGAGAGTGACATATTATAATGCACCGAGAACATGGCGATACATAGTTGCATTAGAAAATAACGGGTTGTCCTATCTATGAAGCTTTGTATTCACTGCCATAGGGGTTACTAAAGGTTTGAACTATTGCATACCAGCCTTGGAAAGAAGATTGCTGATGTATTGGTGTTGAGAGAGGAAAATACTATCTTGCCCTGGAGAAACTTGAACACCAAGGAAGTAGTTTAATGGACCCAAATCATGTTTGGAAAATTCGGACCCGAGCTTAGAAATAATGAAATCCAAAAATGAGGTCTGACTCCCTGTAATTATTATATCATCTACATAGACCAAGATATAGATTGTTACATCATTTTCTCTGTAAATAAACAAAGAAGTGTCTGATTTGGAGGCAACAAATCCCATATGCTTGAGAAAATGAAGAAGTTGCATATACCAGGCCATGAGTGCTCGTTTGAGGTCGTAGAGATAATTCTTTAGGTGACATACGTGGTTAGGATAGAGAGCATGAGTAAAACCTGATGGTTGAGACATGAAAACTTGCTCTTGAAGCTCCCCGTGCAAGAAAGCATTGGACATTCAATTGGTGTAAAGACCAACGATGTGTTGCTGCCATGGAAAGGACAATGCGAATTGTAGCTGGTTTGATGACCGTACTGAAAGTTTTTGAGTAGTCATGGCCTTCCAGTTAATGGAATCCTTTGGCAACGAAGCAAGCCTAATAACGATCAATAGCACAAGTGGAATTTCTTTTTTTATACGAAACACACATTTGCACCCCAGAACATTCATTGATGGATCATAAGGGACCAAGGACCATGTATCATTGTGGAGCAAAGCATCCATTTGGGATGTCATAGCTACTCTCTGTTCTTTGTATTTATTTGCTTTAGTGAAACAAGTTAGTTCAATTGTTGGATGGGATGGTGAGGAGGCAGAAGTTAAATTAATGGAAGGCTTCATATTGCGAAGTTTCATGTGATGAGTTCTTGATATTTGTGGCTTGGGTGGTAGAGACAGATTAGGAACAAGAGTGGAATTAGAGAAGTCGGCCACTGGAAGTGATGTAAGCAGGGACAAGGTCGACGATGAAGGACAAGGGTCAATAGGAGAGGTGATGGGTACAGTAGTCTGGTGGGGACTGTGACTAGTACTACAATGTGATGACAAAGAATGAGGAGTGTCACGAGGTGCGGGTGGAAATAAACTATAAGGTGTGGGCTGTTGTGGAGGACTAGAATTTGGAGGAATAGCAAGAGGGAGAGAAATCCAAGGGTGTGATGAAGTTGGTTAGTATGGGGGAGGGCCAAGGATATAAGCTTCGGCAAATGAGAATTTGCTCTCATCAAATTTGATGTGTCGGGCAATTTAAACTCGTCCAGTGGAGCGATCAAGGCATTTATAACCCAAGTTGCTGGGACTATATCCTAGAAAGACACAAGGCTTGCTTCAAAAATCAAACTTGTGCTTATTGTAGGGGCGTAATTACAGATAACATAAACAACTGGAAGTTTTCAGAAAATCATAGTCAGGTATGGAGTGATGGACGAGTTCATATGGAAAAAGACCATTAGTTGCAGATGAAGGGAGTTG